ATCCTGGACGAAGAGCGCCCGAAAAGCTCCACAGACCAGATCTGAGACCTGCACCAAAAAAGTCCTGATTCAGTCCTAGTTTTGCCTCAGTTTAGTCTTGGTGCTGGTTTAGTCCTGGTTAAGAGGCTAACCATAACCCAGTTCTAGTCCCAGTTTAGACCCGGTTTAGTCCAGTTCTAGTCCTGGTTCAGTACCTGCTGGTCCTGGTGGTTCATCAGGGGCACCAGGGCGACGATGATGTTGTTGTGGAAGTTGAAGTGTGACAGGTGCAGGAGAAGTTCACACAAACACTTCACTGAGACCAGAGCCAGACCCCGGTACGAGTCCAAGGACACGGTCTGGACACGCTTAGTCCGGCTTCCCCTCCAGTCTGAAGGAGGTGGAGGAGAGGAGGAGAGGAACACAAATCACTCACACTTCTGAAGTAAAACATAAAGAGCTGCAGAGCCTCACTAAGACCAAACACCACAAAACAAAAACGCAAGAGATTTTTGCTCGCACAAGAAACTGACAAAATAAAACATCCACGACCTCAGACGGGCACAGGCAGACGAGCAGATGGGAGACGTACTCACAGCTCCAGAGCTCCAGGTTGGAGACCTCTGATGAAATGCGTGTCTGTGTGGGTTATTGGTGAGTTGTAGGTGGGTTGTGGGTGGGTTATTGGTGGGATGTGGGTAGGTTATTGGTGGGTTGTGGGTAGGTTATTGGTGGGTTGTAGGTGGGTTGTGGGTAGGTTATTGGTGGGTTTGTGGGTTATTACCTGTGATGATCTGCTCTAGGTCTTCCAGGTAAAACTTGTACTGACTGAGCAGCCCCTCCTCAAACTCTCGCAGCGCCTGAGTCTCCTTCTTCACCTGACACAGACAAGTGAAAGACAGGAGATGTTTAACCACAGAAAGCTGCAGAGTGACAGGTGATAAATTTAACATCAGACACTAATCGATACTACGTCTTAAATAATGTATTTATCACTTTAGAGGTTCAGTCTGTGTTTAAGTTGCTCTGTGTGTGAGCGTAAAGTATAAGAGCACAGAGACAAGTACACGCCCACTATGGAACCTACCTGCACCACTGAGGGGTTACACACGCACACGGACGCACTGAGGGGTTACACACGCGGACGCACTGAGGGTTACACACACGCGGACGCACTGAGGGGTTACACACACGCGGACGCACTGAGGGGTTACACACACGCGGACGCACTGAGGGGTTACACACGGGGACGCACTGAGGGGTTACACACGGGGACGCACTGAGGGGTTACACACACGCAGACGCACTGAGGGGTTACACACACGCAGGACGCACTGAGGGGTTACACACACGCAGACGCACTGAGGGGTTACACACGGGGACGCACTGAGGGGTACACACGCGGACGCACTGAGGGGTTACACACACGCGGACGCACTGACGCACTGAGGGGTTACACACGGGACGCACTGAGGGGTTACACACGGGACGCACTGAGGGGTTACACACACGCAGACGCACTGAGGGGTTACACACGGGGACGCACTAAGGGTTACACACACGCGGACGCACTGAGGGGTTACACACGGGGACGCACTGAGGGGTTACACACACGCGGACGCACTGAGGGGTTACACACACGCGGACGCACTGAGGGGTTACACACACACGCGGACGCACTGGGAACAGAAAAGAAAGTTCTATTATTTAATGTGTAAAATCATAGGAGATTGTCTAAAAACAGAGGGCTTTATTATCACGGAATCAAGTGTCCAGTCTTGAGTTTACACCCTTAGTGTGGAAATCCAGTTTGACATTTTATTACTGTGACAACACGAGTGCAGACAGGTCCACAGGGTGCAGTACCTTGGCACTCTTCTCTGTGGTGCTCAAGGGTCTGATTTTATATGATGGAGCGACATCTTTGAAAACCTCCATCAGAGAAACCATCACGAGTTTCTTCACCGTCACCGCGATGGAAGGGTCCGGTTCAGACAGCAGCGACCGAAGCTCCTTCAAACACTTTATCTGAAATTTAAAATATATATAAGAATAACAATACACTGTTAAATAACATTATACAGTTACAGATGGAAGGCTGAGGTTCTCTGAAATATAACATCTGTAGAAGATTACACCTAATACATGCCTTTATGCAACCTAACCCTAGATCTGCTCTTAGCTCTTTCAGACGTTTATTGGATTTTTAGATTTGATTTTGTATTTCAGATTAAATATATAAAAGAGTAATTCACTGTTAAAGGGCTGTAAACAAAGCTGAGTGCACAGAGAGATGCGTTAAAGGATAATCAGACCAAATTAACAGAGATGGGACAGTCTTATTTCATGAGGAATCTAAAAAGAAACTTAAAAGAACCCAATAAAACAAGACACGTCACAGAGACAGGTGCGCAGACAGGTGCGCAGGCAGGTGCGCAGGCAAGAGGGCAGACAGGTGCGCAGACTCACGCTGTTGTGCGGGTCAGCAATCACAGCTGAGGCCAGTGCTGCCATCTGCTGTTTCCTCTCTGTCAGGCGCTGCTCCCTGTGCTCTGGACTCATGTCTGCCCCTGCAGGACAACAGGAGCATTACACCAAAGGAGAGAAAGACACTTTAGGTAAAACTAAAGCATAATTCTGTATTATCCCATTACCGGATTGGTCAGTGACTTCCTGTTCCTGCTGTGGCTCCTCCTCTTCCTCCTCAGACTCCTCCTCTTCCTCTCTCTTTATCACTGTGCCACAGAGAGAGTTTTATTGATCTTTGATTAAAATCATTGATTTCTGCTGAGGTGAGATTAGTCATGAAGTAGTCCTGTACCCTTTAAACCCATGCCCTTTAAGCCCGTGCCCATTAAACTCGTGCCCCTTTAAGCCCGTACCCATTAAACCCATGCCCCTTTAAGCCCCTGCCCCTTTAAGACTGTGCCCCTTTAAGCCTGTACCTCTAAGTCTCACAATTTCAATACTAATTTTGGCATTGATAGACACTTGCACAGCCAAAACTTTTTACTGTTTTGTTGGTAAACAGGTGTGGAAAAGATCGATTTATCGAATAATTTAATGTGATCAGTATCGTTCTGCTGTGGTTCTGCTGTGTTAAACTGTGTTGTGTTGTGTTTCTGTTGTAGTTGTGTTGTGGTTGTGTTGTGTTTCTGTTGTAGTTGTGTTGTGGTTGTGTTGCATTTGTGTTGTGGTAGTTTAGTGTAGACTTTACCTCTCTCCACAGACTGGGGGATCACTCCTTTCTTGTCCTTTATCGGCAGCAGGTGAATCACTTCTTTTTCTTCGGTTCGGGACATTTTACGTGGGATTTTTTCCAGGTTTCGCAGAAGCTCAGACTTCCTCTTTTTGGTGCTATGGACCGGAGCACTGGAGAAACCAGAAAAACAAGGAACGATAAAGAGGAGAAGGATGGTGGTAGTGGGGTCAGGTGGTGGTGGATGGGGTCAGGTGGTGGTGGGTGGGTGGAGACAGGTGATGGTGGGTGGTGTTAGGTGGGGTCAGGTGGTGGTGGATGGGGTCAGGTGGTGGTGGGTGGGTTCGGGTGGTGGTGGGTGGGGTCAGGTGGTGGTGGAGGTGGTGGTGGTGGTGGGGTGGGGTGGTGGTGGGGTCAGGTGGTGGTGGGTGGGTGGGGTGGGGTGGTGGTGGTGGTGGTGGTGGTGGGTGGGGGTGGGGTCAGGTGGTGGTGGAGGTGGTGGTGGATGTGGTGGTGGTGGTGGGGTGGGTCATGGGGTGGTGTCTGGTGGCAGATGGTGGTGGTGGTGGGTGTGGTGGGTCTGAAGGCAGTGGACTCCTCAGGGTCTGGTGAGACACTCTGCTCCTCCTCCTGGGCCTGTCTGGGCCATCCTTCATCTGCAGATCCTCCTCCTCCAACATGTCTGAAGGCAACTCCTCCAAGAACTGCTCCTCCTCCTCCTCATCTGAAACACACAGACATGAGTGAGAGCGCCCCCAACGAGGAGAGTTCCACCTACGAGGAGAGTTCCACCTACAGGAGGAGAGCGCCACCTACAGAGAGAGAGCGCCACCTACAGAGAGAGAGCGCCACCTACGAGGAGAGAGCGCCACCTACAGGGAGAGAGCGCCACCTACGAGGAGAGAGCGCCACCTACGAGGAGAGAGCGCCACCTACGAGGAGAGAGCGCCACCTACGAGAGAGAGAGCGCCACCTACGAGGAGAGAGCGCCACCTACGAGGAGAGAGCGCCACCTACAGGGAGAGAGCGCCACCTACAGGGAGAGAGCGCCACCTACAGAGAGAGCGCCACCTACAGGGAGAGAGCGCCACCTACGAGGAGAGAGCGCCACCTACGAGGGAGAGAGCGCCACCTACGAGGAGAGAGCGCCACCTACGCGCCACCTACGAGAGAGAGAGCGCCACCTACGAGGAGAGAGCGCCACCTACAGAGAGAGAGCGCCACCTACAGGGAGAGAGCGCCACCTACGAGGAGAGAGCGCCACCTACAGGGAGAGAGCGCCACCTACAGAGAGAGAGCGCCACCTACAGAGAGAGAGCGCCACCTACGAGGAGAGAGCGCCACCTACAGGGAGAGAGCGCCACCTACAGGGAGAGAGCGCCACCTACAGGGAGAGAGCGCCACCTACGAGGAGAGAGCGCCACCTACGAGGAGAGAGCGCCCCCTACAGGTGGGACAGACAATCTTCTCTCTCTCTGATTGGACACAGGTAAACTGCGTTTTTGGAGCAGGGCTGTGATTGGTCGGTACCTGGGCGTTTGGCGAAGGTGTGCAGTTCCTGGGGTTTGCTGTTGGCGGCGCTCTTCAGGGCCTTCCGCAGACGTTTCTGCTCTTTGCGCTGTTTCTTGGCGGCATTTTCTTGTTTAAACGTTTTATTTTTCAGTTTGTTTTCCAGTTTCACTCCTGAAGTCTTCAGCAGCTTCCGGAAGGACGGACGTCGCTTCTTTGAGCGCGGCTGAAATCAGAGTTTACATTTATAAAATATTTTATTTTATTGATTATCAAAAAGTTTAAACACTCATTAGTCTGCAAACAAAAAGTG